CACAAACATACACACACCCATACACGTACATGTGCACACACACAGACACATGGACAAGTACACACATTGACATACATTCACATAAACAGACACACACAGACAAACATAAGTGCGCGCACACACATGCAAATACACACAAATGCAACACCCTACCCCCTACTAGGAGTGCAATGTTTCAGATGCTTCATACCCAGCATATGTTTTACACAGTGGATGCCCTTCCAGCCGCAACCTTACATTGGCAAACATCCATACCCTCTTTCATTCACACACATACATGTACATTACGGCTAATTTAGCTTATTCAATTCACGTACAGGGACATTCTGGTGGGGAGGAATTGGTGTTACCCATGGGGGCACAGGGAGGTCCATTCTTATGTTTGATTTAATTGGAAAGGTAATATTGGTTTTTATGGAGGGCTAAAATCCATTCTGGCAGCAGAAAAAAAGGTGGCAACCCATTAAGCCCCTTGATTTAGCGGGAAATTTCAAGCTGTGGGGGTTGGGTTTTTTATGTCAAAATACACACACACACACATACATGTGCACACACACACAGTGACATACATTCACATGCACAAACACACACCGACAAACATAAGTGAACGCACACACACACATGATAATACACACACCCATACACGTACATGTGCACACACACACACACACGGACACATGGACAAGTACACACACTGACATACATTCACATAAACAGACACACACCGACAAACATCAGTGCGCACACACACATGCCAATACACACACACAGACAGATATATTTACACACACACAAACAAACAAATACACACACACATACACGTACATGTGCACACACACAGACACATGGACAAGTACACACATTGACATACATTCACATAAACAGACACACACAGACAAACATAAGTGCGCGCACACACATGCAAAGACACACACATGCAGATATATGTACACACACACTCACGCATGCACACACAATCAAACAAATACACACACACACACACACACATACATGTGCACACACACAGACATACATTCACATGCATAGATACATAGACACACACCGACAAGCATAAGTGCGCACACACACACACACACACAGTTATACACACACACAGATATATGTACACACAAAAACAAACAAATATATGCACACATATATGTACAAGCGCACACAAACACACACACGGGACAAGCACAGAGACATGCATTCACATGCACAGACACATAGACACACACCGACAAACATAGGTGCGCACACACACATGCAAATACACACACACGCAGATATATGTACACACACACACACATGCACAAACAAACAAATACACACACACACACATACATGTGCACACACACACAGTGACATACATTCACATGCACAAACACACACCGACAAACATAAGTGAACGCACACACACACATGATAATACACACACCCATACACGTACATGTGCACACACACACACACACACACACACACGGACACATGGACAAGTACACACATTGACATACATTCACATAAACAGAAACACACAGACAAACATAAGTGCGCGCACACATGCAAATACACACACATTCAGATATATGTACACACACACTCACGCATGCACACACAAACAAACAAACACACACACATACACATACATGTGCACACACACAGACATACATTCACATGCATAGATACATAGACACACACCGACAAGCATAAGTGTGCACACACACATGCAGTTATACACACACACAGATATATGAACACACACAAACAAACAAATATATGCACACATATACGTACATGAGCACACACATACACACGGACAAGCACAGAGACATGCATTCACATGCACAGACACATAGACACACACCGACAAACATAAGTGCACACACACACACAAGCAAATGCACACACATGCAGATATATGTACACACATACTCATGCATGCACACACAAACACATACACACACACACACACACACACACACATACATACACATACATGTGCACACATACAGACAAGCACACACAGACATACATTTAAATGCACAGACACATAACACACCGACAAGCATAAGTGCGCACACACACACGCAAATACACACACACGCAGATATATGTATACACACAAACTCACGCATGCACACACAAACAAACAAATACACACACACACAGTGACATACATTCACATGCACATGCACAGACACACACCGACAAACATAAGTGTGCGCACACACATGCCAATACACACTCACAGACAGATATATGTACACACACACTCACGCATGCACACACAAACAAACAAACAAATACACACACAGATACACGTACATGTGCACACACACACACACACACACACACACAGACCCATGGACAAGTACACACATTGACAAACATTCACATAAACAGACACACACAGACAAACATAAGAGCGCACAAACACATGCAAATATACACACACGTAGATATATGTACACACACTTACCACATGCACACACAAATAAACAAATACACACACACACATACACATACATGTGCACACACACAGACATACATTTACATGCATAGACACATAGACAAGCAAAAGTGCGCGCACACACATGCAATTAAACACACACACAGATATATGTATACACACACAAACAAACAAATATATGCACACATATACGTAAATGCGCACACACATACATGTGCACACACACGGACAAGCACAGAGACATGCATTCACATGCACAGACACATAGACACACACCAACAAGTGCGCACACACACATGCAAATACACACACACGCAGATATATGTACACACACACTCACGCATGCACACACAAACAAACAAATGCACACACACACACATACACATACACGTGCACACACACACAGTGACATACATTCACATGCATAGACACATAGATACACACCGACAAGCATAAGTGCGCACAGATGAGAACCACGTGCTGGATAACGTGCTGGATAAGTTGGCGGTTCATTCCGCTGTGGCGACCCCGGATTATTAAAGGGACTAAGCCGACAAAAAAATAAATGAATGAATGAATAAATAAATCAAATCAAATTAGTAATTCATAAAAAAACAGGCAGAAAAGTTTGCTCTGTTTTAGTTTCAGCTTCATTTTAAGCAACATTACATAAACTGTCTCGATCATCTGAGGCTCTTCAGTCTAGTCTAGTTTCAGTATTTGTAAAAGCTCACATTTATGAATGATTTACTGGAAGGAGTCAATAAGAAAGTGCTGTGAAGTGTGTTTATTTCAGCTGCTGAATCACAGTCTGGAGCTCTCCTGTGAGCCGCTCAACCGCCCCGTCAAGTTTAACACACACTCAAGCTGGATTGCTGATGTCTCGCAGGACGGACAGACAGACAGTAGTAGTTTTTCCCTTGGTATGGACCAAAAAATGTACTTTTTTTTTTTTTTAGGGAATACTTTTTTTCTTTAAAGGCCTTCAGAATTGCGCACAGATAATGAGAAGATAGCTAGATTTAAAGCTGAGAGTTTTTTTTTTTTATGTATAACTGATCTATATAACTTAAATTACAAAAACAAAAGAATTATTATATGGCAGCACGGTGGCTCAGTGGTTAGCACTGTGGTCTCTGAGGAAGATGGTCGCTGATTTGAGTCCTGGCTGGGTTGGTTGGCATTTCTATGTGGAGTTTGCATGTTCTCCCAGAGTTTGCGTGCGTTTCCTCCGGGTGGTCCGGTTTCTCCCACAGTCCAAAGACATGCGCTATAGGTGAATTGGGTAAGCTAAATTGATTGTAGTGTATGAGTGTGTGTATGGGTGTTCCCCAGTACTGAGTTGTGGCTGAAAGTGCATCCGCTGTAAAAAAAAAACATATGCAGGAGTAGTTATGTGGCGTCACCTTATGAAAATAATGGACTAAGCCGAAATTATATGCATAATTATAAAAAAGACAAATAATAAGTTATAATTTACAAAAATGGAAAATGCAAAAATAAAAGCAAATACACATGATTTATATTAAAAACTACAACATTCTGACTCACAAAAAGGTGTTAAAAACTTTATTAAAACGAAAAAAAGAGAATGAAAAAAACTAAATTAAAACTAAATATATTATTTTTAAATACACTATAAAAATATAAAAATGGCAAAACAATTAAGCTACATTTTACAAAAATGGAAAATAATCAAATTATTTATATTAAAACTACAATATTCTAAACAAAAATAAATAAATGAAATACAAAGAATATAAATAAAAAGCCAAAAACTGCTAAAAGCAATAAAAATCTAAATAATATAAAAAGCTAATAAATCAGGGTGTGTGATAAAAAAAATAAAATTAAAGCTTCATTAAAATTAATATTTAATAACTGCATTAGCAACTGAATTTGTAGCATTAATATTACTAAAGCTAAAACTGAAAGAAAAAGAAAATCACAAAAAAAATTAAAAATTTGATAAACAAAACTACATTAATAAAGAAGTTTCTTCCATCAAATATAAAAGGTCCAGGCTGCTCTTTTGCCTTTTCCATACAACGAAAATGGGCGAAGACTGTGGCTTTTAAAACAAAACAATAAAATTAAATTAAATAAAAACAAAAAAATAATAAATAAATAAAAATAAAAAATGAAACTACTAACAAATAAGATAAAACTAAACCAAATAAAAAAAAATCATATATATATATATATATATATATATATATATATATATATATATATATATATATATATATATATATATATATATATAT